ATGATTGGGCCTCAAGCAGGCCTTTCTAGGGGCCTCAAGAACCTTTTTTTAATCATTTTTCTAGGGGCCGAGAATATAATGGGACCCTTCGCGGCCTAGCCCTAGTTACACTATCAATGCTCAATTTTGAATTGCAGAGTGTACAATGGAGCCCCAGGCTCCCACCTTCAATGCCCTAACCCTAAGGCCGGTCCTAGTTATTTTGCATTGTAGAGTGTTTTTTAACATGAATTATTGCTAGTACTATAAAATCTGCATTTAAACTTCACAGAAACACAGGGAAATCCAAACACAGAGAAAAACACTATTAAAAACTAATGCAAATACTGAATAAAAGAAATAAGAACCTCTGATTACCAAAAACCGAAAAAAAAAAAAAAGGAGAGTAAAGCATGCCAATTTCACTCTGATTACTACTGGGGTTGACATGATGAAAATATGTGTAACTCTAAATCAAGCAGGACATGCCCAAAGGCACCTATAATTTTACATGCCTTAAAAACTAGCATATAATCCCCTATGGTTTGCAACTGAAATGCTATAACTACCGACTTTAACAATTTCTGTATAGAAATACAATTATACACTTCATCTTTTTTTTTTTTTTAATTCTGTAGTGTCTTTCTTAAAACTTAACAAAACTTTACAAATCTATTTAATACATGGGTAGCATATTAAGGGAGAGAGATTGATTTTTTTTGGAGAGGGGAAAGCAAGAAAGAAACATGATATGTGCAAGGGCATAGCAGTCATTGTGACATATTATTCGATTTAAAAATTGAATTTTGAGCTTTGACTGTTAATTTTAACTGAATTTCTCACAATTTCAGTTGGGTCCAAAAACATAGGAGGTTGTGCAGGTTTTGAAGTATTACAAGGTCAAACTAAGCATAGGTAATTTATAATCTCTATCAAAAATTACCTGATTTTAAAGCAGGATGGCATGGAAAAGGTACAAGAAGTTCAGCATTGCCACGGCTGCGACAACGAGATAGTTGGAGTAGCTGCTACTAAAACTTGTTTGTCATGTATGGCAGATTTTAGCACATTGTATTGTTGGTTGACAGAATCAAACAGGGCCTGTGAGTACACCACCTTAGCCTGCATTAGGAACACCCTCTATTAGAATGATTGATATAGAACTTATATATGCCACTGACCACTCATTCTCAATGAATAGGTAAATAATGAAGCAAGTTCACAAATTTGTCCCTAAACCCTAAACCACGTTCCAGAGTAATAGAATCAAAGGCTCTAGAACAACTAAATGTTTGGCAACCAAGTCCAACTCTACAATGTTTGATGCAGCTGCAACTACAATGACTTGGTAATGGGGAACACAAGGGAACCCAAGGAAGGCTTGGAATTCGGAATTTGTTTTACTACATTAACTTACTTCTCTGGTCCTACATCGCCTGGGCACCAATGTCCAGTTCAATGGATTGGCTGCACCACATCAATGGAACAACTCTAGAAACAGGTGATGAGCAAAAGGAAGAACACCCTTCTCATTAAGTAAGATCCACTGACCAATAATTATGTTCAAGATTTGATCAAGGAAACAGTAAACAAAAAAGGGTTCTGCCAAATTAAATTTGTGAAAATAACATTTCTACGTTGTTACTGATTATAACTGCAAAAGAACTAATAAAGAACTGAAATTGAATGGTAAACCTGGTACCTTTACCTGTTCCATAATCACTTGTCAAATTAATTGCTTTTTTTTTTTTCATTCTCTATGACTCCTTATATGTGTCCAGCAACCTTCTTCCCAGTCTCCACTCAGGGAAAGCAAAATAACACAACCCAAAATGATAAATGAAGTTCAAGAAAGACTCCATTAGATCGAACGGACAGGTGAATAGCATATTTTGTATATAACAAACCTCTTCAGCATCTCCACAAGCAGCAGCAATTTCATGGAAACTGATTTTCTGTGCCACTGATAATCCAACCCCATGAAAGGAGATCAGTCTTTTTTCTCCAATTTCTTTCTCAACCTGTGAACAGACATTGCTGTGAGAGAAGAAATAGACAATGTCATAAGGGATACACAAAGGACAAATCTGTAGTAAGAACATACCTGGGGTGGAGGGGGCATAATGTCATAGCACAATATTGCTAAAGGATATATATGACCAGGTACACCAGCATTTTCCATAATCCTTCTCATGTTGTCCAATGAAGAAGCATCAAAGGGTGCCTAAACCTTTTATATTAGTATGAAAAGAACATGATTGAATTACAACAATAGGAAAAGGCTGGTCTAAATTGAATCACAGTGGCAAAAACAAAGACACAGGGTTTTGGTAAGTCAGACCATGAGAACAAGAGAAACACCCTACAAAGAAAAGAACATTCTGCACCTCACCCTCTCTACTCTCTCCGCATGTGGGCAGGGTGCTGGTAGGGTGGGTGTGGGTGATGTCACAGGCTTATTACACCCAACTCTGATAATAATTATGCCACCATGGACACAAATTGAAAACTCTTGAGAAGCCATCAAATTGATCAAAAAAGAGAGATCAATTATCTTTTTAATTAGGTGGGAATCACCTGTTTGTGAGGTAGATGTACTATATTTGTTGTAATTGTGAGGATGTATATGTTCTTTCAATCATAAAAAAAAGCCTCTTGGGCAAGCGTGTAACAGCATGTGTTATAAGCATGTGTCTATAACAATCCCAATCCTGTGTCCACAGTTTGTCATGTTTGATAAATATACTTCGCATCTTTCTTTTTTCCCAAAGGTAAATGAGGAAAAAATCATACCGGATACAAATCCTTTGTGACGGTGTCTGGGCGATCCCTTCCACCACTTGGTGCAATCCTTATTATTTTCGATCCACCCCTGGGCACGAAGTGCAAATAGGTTCATTAAAATAATTTGCAGATTATGCATTTTCAGAAAACAAACCAACTAATTGATTGCCATAGAAACACGGAGTAAAGTAAACATTTACCAGAAAAGAGGAAAAGAGATAATTGAAAACATGTAAGCTCAAATATTTTCTTGGAACTATGCATCAAAATTCACAATTTGACATAGTGCAGCTTAATTTATTTGGCTAGTCACAAAAGCAAGAATTTGGGAACGAGGCTCCCTACCTAGAAGGGCAAAACATATCCCAATTAACCAAGTAACCATTTCAGGAATCATCCATACCCAAATACTCAAAAATCTCAGTTTTATTCTCGCAATCTTCAGAAATATGCAATGATAGAAAGGGTAGGAACATTGACCAAAAATGATAAGCCGAGAACATTTCTCCATGCCAAGAAATATGCCTCCATTTCCAGTCAAGTGTTGCTGATTTTCACCTTTATGGAAGACAGAATGCACCTCCTCCTTTGCCTTCTAAGGGAAGACAAATGTATTTCATGATCCAATCAACACTTTCACACTGAAAGGAATCTGTTGCCACATGCAATTCGCTATTTTTGGGTTGATTCTCACTGGAGTACTGGTTCTGGTTCGCTTCAGGCCCCCTTTTACCACATGCAATTTGGTATTTTTGGGTTGATTCTCAATGGAGTCCTTGTTCAAGTTCACTTCAGAGCATCAAATGCTCATCATACATTTCAAACAATAACCTGGACATTAAAAGTTCTTCTCTTCATTCTCGAAGTTGAGTAATGGTCCCGCCTGCAAATGGAATTTAACACTCAAAAGTTCACACTCTACCAACCTAAGACATCATTTACTAAATGCAACACATCCACCTCAGAAATGAGTAAAATGGGTGTTGTTGCCTCTCCCAATGGAAACCAAGACCACCATTATAATCCCCATACCAGAACAACAATCTAGTGAATAATCAGCGACCCTTAATCTTTCATAACCCACTTTAATCACCACTCACTACAACTTGAATACCCACAGTTATTCCATCTTCTCACCCTATAATCTTAGTAGGGAGCCCTTATAAAACTACTCATGATATCAATGTCTGCCCCAGAGCATCCTGCATAAAAATTAATATAATTTGTGCACCTTCACAATAAAATGCTGAATTTGTTCTTATAGCTAATGATCAAAGGAAAGACTGGAAGGAGATTCAAGAGTAAAGTATGGAGAAGGAATATGATCATTTTCATGATCCCTCTCCAGAGATTCTTGCATCCCTTGAGGTGTTGGGGCAAGAAAGGATGGATTCGTTCATGCACTTCCAACCTTTAAAGTGGTTGCTTGCAAAGATTTTAAGTACTTCAAAAAAGAAACTCAACAGTAAGCAATACACACATCAATTGAAGAATAGCAGTGATATCTGTACCTCAAAAGCATAACCATCTCCTTTAAACTTCTCATATTTGCCCTTTTTTTCATCTCAGCAAGCTCCGGAACATCATACATGTGATTTTTTGAATAAACGCATAAGAGATTCCTAAGATTGTAAGAAGTTGGACTCACGAAAACTTTATTAAGAAGAAATAGGGAATTATAGGATACATGCATTTGTACAGAAGATCAAGAAACTTTATGAGCACCGTCCCATGCTGAAAGGCTTGCAAAGAGGATCTGTTATAATTCTATCTCCAGCCACATAGATCTGCATGACAGCATTTAAATCTTGGTGAAGCAGTCAATTTCAAAGTTACAAGAACTATAACAAGAGCAGCTTAAGGGAAAAAATATCATTGTCACCATGTTCTCAGCAATGTGTGGATTTTTTGCTTCAAGCAGCAATGCAATAACAGCTGGATCTGCTTCAGTTTGATGATTGGAGAACAAAATGACATTGTCACCCTGAATTTAATGGTATAGCAGAGCGAAAACCATGAACATCAAGAACAAACATGAAAGCCATGTGATAGAGCACCACTTTAATCTAAACAGAAGTGATGAATGTCTAATTATGCAGATGATCCCTAACTCCAACTTCTTTTAAGGTAAGTAGCACTCGTAAATTTTTCCTCTTTGGTCCATGATCACTAATAGAAATAAGCTTCAAGTTAATAAGGAAACTGGTAATGATGTATAACATATTACCTCACAGGGAACTCCCACCAGCCAGATTCGCTCAATCAATGATGCTGAATTAGCAGTAATAATTCTACCTACCAACCAAGTTTTTCCAGCACATATAGTCCAGTATTATTCATTGGTCGCACTCTGTATTAAGTTATAGTATTTACTGATTTTAGTCGATATATCATTCCAAAACCCTTTCCATGTACCATTTTTGGTAGATCGTGTTTTTTTTTACAGACAAGTGAGTCAATTCTGGTGGGCAGGGGGTCAAGATAAATGTAAAGGGAGTATCAACTTGGAGCCAAAAGCAGGAGAGAGAGAGAGAGAGAGAGAGAGAGAGAGAGAGCACTTCACAACTTTTCTGTATTGGACAATTTAGACAACTGCAGTATTGTGAATTCGTGTTGTAATATGGCTTAATTCAATGGGTCACCACACATGTACAAGCAATGTACACATGGGTTAAACTACTGTTTAAATTTTACATGTTCCATTTGGGATTAAATACGCAACCATACTTGGTTGTATACTGATATGATGTTATCCTTACTGGCTTCATAAATTCCCCAAAACACCAGATCGTCAAACTTGTTGCTCTATCTTCCGTGTTTATGCATATGACTATATTAGCACCACTAATTCTTAATGGCATAAAAAATGTAGGTTGTTTCTTCTCGAATAAAAAGAAATATGATGAGATACTAAAATAAATGAGCAGGGAGAAAAAGCAGATCAATGCAGGTGGGATGACAAGTCGATCTAGTTTTTGCAATAAGAAAAGGAATTAACAAGCCTTATGGTTAATATCGGCATCAGTTTTATGCTAGTAGTACTTAGTCATGAATTAAGCTAAACAGAAGCATCTAAACTTCCAAAGTTATCAAAGTCATAGTGGAAACTGTGGAAAGTTTCTACCAGAAATGGCAATAGTTTTGCATGACAAGAAACCAATGATTTAGTATATGAAAGGAAAAGTGATCATTTGTCAAAGAAAAAAGATGAAAGGTTAAAGAGAAAAAATGAAATTATTTTATATGTTTACACTAAGAACTCTCACATAAATAAAACATCTATTGATGAAGCATGGCAGTAGGGTTTTGCACTACCAATGTAGAGTTTCCAAATTAGAAAATATTTTAGTGTAAGATTTCCAAATTCACTTTGACCCGTTCATCACAGCAAAACTGCTGGGTAAAAACTCAAGAATCTCATGATGTTGTTGCACAAAAATAGTGAGGAAGGAAATAGTATCTTCAAATCCACAACCAATGGTACGTGGAAAACCGGAAGGAGGGAAGACAGGGGGTTATGGACCAGCATGAGTCACAGCTAGTATTGACAAAGAACTGTAGCATAAGAACACCAAATGTAAATAAATGAAACACAAATATTAGGCACCTGCTGAAGCTTCTCTTCCATTTCACGGAAAAGGGAGATGTTGCCAACATATGAACTCCTGAAGATTGGAACGACCAAGGTTACAGGCAACAATGAATACCTCAATTCGCAACATCGTACGAGAGTAATAATATATCATTCCAATTAACCATATGATTATTAGCTAGTCAAAGAGTATACACCTGATTTTCCCAGTCTACCTCCTAGCACACCAGATAGTGACCCTTTCCTGTTAACTCAAATATTCTAAATGTTAACCAGGGACCGCTAGTTGGGCGGGAAAAAAACCTGGGCAAAACTGGAAATCCAATGGTCTGCAGCCATTTGGACTGTTTGGGTTGGGTTCAGTTGGCTGAAAAATCTCAACTTGACCCGAATTTTAGTCTACATTGACTGAAGTACAATGAAATCCAAACCTAACAAAAAGTACATACATCCCTACATAGATTATCACAGGAAACGCTATGTACATTTAACCACCCCAAAACTCGGAGTATCGAGAGCCTCCTAGATTGGGCTGTCATATATAAGGCATATAGTTTTCCAACGACTTTTGTCTTTCTTGCAGCATTCCTAGTTCCCATTAAGCTATACCTCATTCTCAAAGTCTCAGTCACATTGTTTCTACAAGTCTATGCCTCCATTACCCCCACAGCACCATATTCTCCCTTTCTCACCCCCCCCCCCCACCCCAAAAAAAAAAATAAGTGGCCAAGTGAACAAGGCTCCTATGGAGAGGAAAAAACAACATAAAAACATTCAAAAAATGTATCTACATGGAAAGACAACCGAGTGCAAATTCATTCCTGTCAATTGTAGCTGTTAAGAGAGCTTGTATTTCACATCGAATAGTTAGGACTACCAAGATTGATTTATATACTTGAGTGGCCACCTTATCTATGGCCTATTTGTTTTGGGTTGAGTGCTCTAACATGGTATCAAAGTTGGGCCTTGGGTAGTCAGCAGGCCAAGTCTCTTACCCATTTGAATTTTTTGGTATGCATAGTTGTTTGTTTGCTTGTTAATCCTGCGTGCGAGCCCGGGTCCCACGTGAGGGAGGGTGTTAGGAGTGTTTTTATCCCACATCGAATAATTAGGACCACTAAGGTTGATTTATATAATTAAGGGGTTACTCCACCCATAACCAATTGGTTTTAGGTTGGATGCTCTAACACCACCTAGGTAGAATATGATACTCTCTTTTGAGATGATTTCTTTCATTCTTCAACTACCTTCCTCCATGTAGATTTCATTGATTAATGAACATGAATCATGTGACTGATTGGGATAATGTAGGCATTTTTTATCTCCCAGGTCACAAACTCCCACTACTGATGGAGACAAGGGCTGCCTTAGTGAGATTGTATTCTCATAGGGGCTCATAAAGTGACCTAAAGTGGGCAGAGCATGTAAGGACCTGGACTATATTTTGCAGCCATAAATGTCTACCCAGTACTCACTGAAGTCAAAGCCATTCAATAAATTTCACTAACGTGACAAAAAGCACTCACCTGAAATCTATCAAAGGATGGATATAGCTCTGGACAAACATGTAGTAATCGAAAGGATTTCGAATGGCCTTGTGGTATGGCAAGAATTATAAGGTTCCTGAAAATTTACTGATAGATTTAGAGCAGAGGCACATGCTAGAGATGCAGAAATTGCATACATGTCCACCATTAACCATAAAACTAGAACAAATATATGAAGTCCAGTGATACCTTCACATCCATGAAGATACGGTCAAGTGCAACAGCCATGTTAGATAAAACAATCTCTTCGGCCTGAGGATTTTTGCTCTGAAAAACCTGAAAGGTGAAAGTATGCCATAGAAATTACAGAATGTATAAGCATGCAAGAAAAAATAAAGATATGGTTCAAACACGAATTATGATGGAAACCTACACAATACAAAAGCAGATGCTTAATGCAATTCACAATTACTTATAATTTTTGGGAGCTCCACAAATAAATACAGGACAAAACAAAATTTATATTCTAAGAAGAAGGTGCATAGGACTCCACTTGTACAATGCTGAACAATATAAAGAACATGCTACTCAACTAAAAAACTCAACAAGATAACTCTCTGTAACTCATTGTTGAAGCAGACAACCTTCAAATGAACATAGTCTTGTTTCCAACCATTGATTGTTTACTTTCACTTGCGGGCTTGTCCCATTATTAGGAACTCATTGAAAACATTCTCCAGTTATGGAACCAAATCTCAGCAATTTATACAATCCATAATGATAATGATACTAATAATGGTTCATGATTTTAATCCCAAATCCAGGAGCCTGGAGGGAAATATTTTGTAGGGCCTAATATCAAAGCACGTGCATCACACCAAGTTAGTTTTTGTTTGGCTTTGCCCCTTATTCTGTGCTACTATTAGTGGAACATGGAAAAGCAGTTATCAATGAAAACAACAAAGTGGGAAGCTTGCTTTTGACATGGCAAGGGTCAATGGCCAAGAGGGTAAAAAAAAATAGGAGACGGCTTTGAAATGAAGTCCCCATTAATCGCATACAAAGGGTTGCCAAGAATGAGATATTTCACAAATTTGGTACCAGTAAATCAACCATATCATATTAATGAGAAACCACTCAAACTAAATTTTCTAGGTTCTATCTCTACATCAATGTCTTCATTATTAAGAAGGGGAAAGTTAGAACAAGTACCAACTACAAAGAAACGGATTAGAAATGGCATTGCATTCAACCTATATAACAAGAGATCTTTTCAGCTTGTACAGCCACCATATTACCTTTTATGTCACCCATGACAGCTATATTAAGAGTGTTGTTGGCTTTACATCCTTTCCCGCTAGAGTTTTTTATGGCTCAACATAAGTACTCACCGTGTCAATATCTCTATGCCTTGTAGCACATGTAATCGTACTGTAGGTATTATTTGGTAATGAAAAAATGTGCCCAACTTAGGTAACTCAAGTCAACAAAATTAATAGAACTTATGCATAACAAAAACCTATAGTTATGATTCGTAATATTTTTCTTTAATATCTCATTTTCTTCATCATGATGGATAAAGCCAACTCAAGCGCTTTCTTTTCTTTTTTTGTTTCAACTGAGTGTTCGAGCCAGCTTACACGCACCTCGACTAATCCCCTCCCCAATCCGGTCAAAGGCAGGTCATCCACGCTGAGACTAAGGTATTCATTAGGGGATAAATCTCTCATTGCCTAATCCAAAAGGGTTGTTATACTCAGGACATTTTAGTTTACATCTAGTCCCTCTTACCACTTCTTTTCTTTTATGTTCGGCTAGTTTGTAGAGAAAATAGACCTCCATACATTTATCAAAGTGTACTCTATTTTAGTAGGTATAGCTCCCGCTGTCATTCCTAGGATGAATACCAATGGGATTTCCTTTTCTGAAGCCTGAATGGCATCAAAAAGCTTCCGCTTTCCTCACAACGGACCAACCATAAAGTGAGTAAAAAATGATGGCCTCCAAAATTCTCCCTAAAGACACTGTTACAATGCGTGGGATGCGATATCCCCAACTTTCATAGGTCGTGGTTCAACCTCCTATTGAGAATTGAGGTCGTTGCATGGGGAAACCAGACATATTTTTTTGTTTGTTGTTTTTCTTATACTAAGAAGCTTGTAGGTTCTATGCCAACCATACGTAGCTTAAATTATGATTGCCATAATGCCTTAGCTATTTACCGATTTCCAAGAAGCCTTTGGTTGAATATTCACACCTATCCTCCTTCTACAATTCCTACGAGGCTACAACTGAAAACACATATTGACTTAACACTTCTTAGAGCTTGTCACACACCAACATAATAACACCTCCTAAACTAATATGTGAGCATTATGGCTAGGATTGGGGAGAATTTGGCTAGGATCAATAAAATCGATTTTTCAATGGTGCACTTGTTGTCTTTGAATTTGTCTTTCTATTATCTGTTCAAGTGCAAGTAGGATTCACGTACGGATGACTATTAGAGCTTGTCCAACACGATAAAACAATACATTTCAAACTAATATATGAGTCATGCAGGCCTTGGGTACTTGTTGTTTGTTATCTTATAAGAGTGTTGCCATGGAAGATAACTAAGTGGAAAGGGTGACCTTGAAGAATATAACTAAGAGGAAAGTCAACCCTACACTCTGGTCCGTACCAATGCTAGAGTGCTAAAGCATGTGGAGCAAACAATATTAGAGATGGATCAATGGCTTCTAAATAAAAAAACTAAAACATTGATTGGGGAAACCTTGACTGAAACTTCCGACCCTTTAGGTGGCAAAAGGGTGAGGTAAGGAGTAGTATGAAAGCAGCTCATTCATCGATAAACCTCTCCTTATTCATTCAATAGGCTAAGGCTCCCATTCAATGTGCGAGATCAAAGTTTTGTATGGTGAAGTAGCGATTGAATCATCCACTTTAGTTAGTCAATTGATTTTGAGCTAGATGTTTTAACAACACTGATACAACAACTAGGTTGTTCGATGTATTTTGTTGGTTTGTTATCCAAAGTTACTTCTTCATTGATGCTGGAAATTTGAAGGATTTTCATTTATTTACCATGAAGAAAATAACGAGATGAGATAAAGCACAATTCACTGCACCAGTATCACTCCGTGGAGGAGTGACAGTGAAACAATATGGCATGGCAAAACCTAACAGGCGACAAATTAGTAGATCAAAAAAAAAAAAAAGTACAATCCTATAAGCTAGAAAAAAAAATGGCCACCAAGAATTACTTGTTAGTTGTTACACCAATATAGGTTTTCAATTCTGGATATTAGCTCCATTATTAATTAATTGTTTACAGGACATGATATTTTACCTCTACTAATATAGTAAAACAATCTGATTTCTAACTAGCATGATAATAAAATTAAAAATGAATCTTTCATTAGGTATGTCCAAATAAGAAAATGAAGGAAGGCATTAAAACCCAAAAAGAATGTTTCCTAAGAATAAAGACCTAGCCTCGGGCCTAACAATTAAAGCATAGGACCCAATCAGTACACAATAGCTAAGAAAGATGCATTACAGCGTGAGTCAAAGCATTAATTTACTGCA